TCCTCCTCCTCCTCCTCCAGAGCAGGGAGCCAGGGTCCATTTCATGGTGGTTTTAAAGCTGGATCTGTTTTCTTCCAGGGATGCACAAGGAGAAGCCCTCCCTGACTGCTGAGCCTGGTCCCCAGGTGGCCTCAGGGGGACAGGTGACTCTGCTCTGTCACACAACTTATTCCTATGACATCTTCACTCTGTGCAGAGACAGGGCAGCCTCCCTGCCCCAGACCTGCTCCCACCAGAACCACAGCTCATTCCTCATGTCCCCTGTGACCCTGGCCCACGGGGGCACCTACAGGTGCTATTTCTCCTCCAAGGACAAACCCCACCTCTTGTCTCTGCCCAGTGACCCCCTTGAGCTCCTGGTCACAGGTGAGTGCGTGTCTGACCGCTGTGCCTTTGCCCTGGACAGGGGTGTCTCGAGGCGTTCAGGTTGGCCCCACACTGTGTGGTGGTGCCCGCACCTGACCTAGCCGTGGTCACTCTGTGTGACTTCTGGACCCTGAGCACTTGCATGTTCATTGTGACAATTTGGGGCAGATGTAAGTAAGTGGCTGGGGCTGAGGTGTCCTTTCCCATCCATGGGGAGATGCTCCCTGACCTAGTGCCAGGCTCGGGGACCAGAGTCCCCAGCGATGGAGTAGTCAGTTGGTGCCTGTCCCCTCCTGCCGTCCCTTCCCCTCAGTCCCTCTCTGTGTGGGGACAGTGAGCATGTCACTAACTGGTGACACACATGTTGCCCATGTCTCTGAAGTTTCTTCATGTAGGTGAATTTCTGGGTCCCTTGTGTGTGATGCTGTGACAGCCGTTGTACCTCAGAGTGGCCATTTGTGGGTGGACACAGTGGATGGTCATCTATGCAGGGTGCCCAGGACCCTGCAGGCTGCCAGGGAGGTGCAGCTCCTGCCTTTGCTCTGGTGGCCAAGTCCCCAGGCCTTCCCCTGGGCAGCTGGGACTTCTCAGGTGTCAGGGAGGGGACATGCTCCAGCCAGGGGTGACCCAGGGGACAGGAGCACACAGGGGTGAGAGACCCTGCTGAACCTTCTGACGTGACTGGTCAGCGTGACAGTGGCCTGGGTTAGGGTGGACATTGCAGCCGGCCCCCAGGAGGAGGTGCAGGACAGTGAGGAGGAGATGGCTGGTGTCCACGTCTGGCCACTGGGGACAGGAGCGCTGGGCGGGGACAGCTGAGTTGGTTACCCTCCATGGACGCCCCTAGCCTTATAGCTCTAGTCAGAAAGAATCCTGTGGCTTGCGTCACACGTCCAGGAGCTGTCCTTCTCTGACTGCAGTGGCCAGCCGCAGAGCTCCTGACCACAGGTGTCCAGCCCCCTCCCGGCCTCTCATGGAAGCAGAACTCCCCTGCCCTCGCTGGAGGGCGCCTTAGGGTCATCCTGCCTGGTGCCCACAGCCTTCTGCCAGTCCTGACACCCTCAATTCTCCAACATCACACTGTCACACCAAGGTCACCTGTCACCTGGTTATTGTGATTTTGTGACCTGTCATCCTGGTCCTTTGTGATCCGTGCCGCAGGGTGCAGGTGGATCCTCACTGTGTGTGAACCCCCAGGTCCACCTAGTCCCCTTGTGGTTGGGGTCTCGGCCGCTGCTGCCGTCCTCCTCATCCTCTGCCTGCTCCTCCTGGGCCTCTGCCTATGCCGACACCGAGGGCCACGTCGGGCCAGACGCAGTATGTCCTGGGGCTGAAGGTGAATCGGGGAGGACTGTGGGCCGGGGCTGGCATCTCCCTTCCAGCCTGACCATTGTCCCTCCCTAGGGGTGACTGACGGTGGGACCAAGAGCCCAGTGTGGGACGTAAGGTAGGACAGTTCAGACTCCCCCAATAAAAACCTCCGAGATCCTAGGAGTCCTCTCCGGGACTTCCCATGACACCCCTCCCCCTTCCCATCAGCTCCAGACCTGCCTGCGACGTCCAGGGGGAAGATGAAGGTGAGTGGACGGGAGAAGGGTGGCCTGTGTGGGGCGGGAGCCAAGCAGCTGGAGGCCTGGGGCCGGGCAGGACAGGAGCCAGCTCCACCTTGCTGGGGGCCATTACTGCCTCCTGGAGAACTGGAGGCCTGGGGCAGGGCAGGACAGGAGCCAGCTCTGCCCTGCTGGGGGCATTACTGTCTCCTGGAGAACATATTGCTCCGATATCTGGGAGGTGGGCCCGGGTCGTTGGAGGACTGTCGTGCAGGAGGTCCACCCTCTCATCTTCCCTTTCAGAGGACACGGAGCACAGGGAGCATGGACAGCTGGACACACAGGTGAGCCCTCCCTCCATGCCTCTCCTCCCAGCCCAAGCCCAGGTGCCCGCTCCACACGTGTGCCTCCCCGTGGCAGGTCCCTGCTGCAGAAGGCCCACAGGAGGTGACCTATGTCCAGCTGCACCCAAGGACCCTCACCAGGAGTGTGTGTCCACTTCCCTCCCGAGCGCCCCAGGACGGGTCAACACAGCCCTGTGTGTATGCCACGCTCACCTCGCCTTGAGAGGACAGCAGGGCTGGCTGAGTGGATGGCAGGGCCGCTCCGTGTCCCTCAGTGCCAGCCACCAGGTGGGAGCCCTGAGACTCAGAGAGAGAAGCTCGTGCACTGCTGGGAGCCCCGGGGGCTCTGGCGCAGTCCTGGCTCCTGGCAATTCGCACCAAGTGTTTCAGAGGAGCCTGCCTGGGTTCACGTGGGGAGGGGCGGGTGGCCAGGCAGGCCTCCTCTAAGGGACTGGCTACAGCTGCAGGAGGCCAGCCTGCCCTCCAGCCCTCAGGAAGCGGATGAGTGGCCTGAGGAGGACCCTGAGTCTTCCGCAGCTGGATGTCGTGGGTGGCGCTGCAGCACGCTGGTCACGGTGCCCCCTGGGGGGCCAGTGCATTCTGCCCACTGTGATCCCAAGGGGGGCCTGGCTCACGTGGGGGTTTGGCCTTCGGTCCCTTCAGCCCCCGTGGCTCTCCCCGTGGCTGCAGCCTCCACAGGCTCAGGTGCAGGGTCCCCTTGTCACCCTCCCCCACATGCCCAGCTCCTCGGTGGCATCTCGCAGTGGCCGGTCACTGATGGGAGCACTCTTTGTGTATCTGTCGGCCATTCGTGTGAGTCACAGAAATAAACAAGATTCAGGTCCTTTGCTCGTTTAAAGACCAGGCTCTTTGTGTTTCTGCTGTCGAGCTGTTGGACGCCAGCTCCATGGAGATTGGACATGGGACGTCTCTGTGTACATCGCTCAGTACCGCTCAGCCTTTAAGGAGAAGGGCGTCCTGCAGCTGCCACGGCAGGATGGACCTGGAGGGCGTAGAAGGCAAAGGCTGCACCATCTCAGGGATACGTGGCATCGAAACAGACAAGGACGGGGGCTGGACACACAAAGGCCGAGGGTGGAACAGGCATTACGAGGAGCAGGGTGGGGAGGATGCGGGGAGACGTGGACGGTCAAGGCTGAGGTCCAACGTCCAGTGTGAGGACTGGAGTGAACAGCACTCAACTGGGTCAGGATTTTTGCCAAGTGGTTAGATTGTGTTGCTGTTGCCACACACAAAACCGTTGACTGTGAGATGGCTGGGTGCAGCGAGCCACCCCCCAAGTCATTGGGGGCCCAAGTCAGTCAATTCCACATTATGCAAAAGGGAGCTTATCCTGGCGGGGCTTGGACACACCTCCCTTCAACACTGCCGGGACCCCTCCTGGGGTGCGGCTCTCCTCCAGGACCCAGGGGCGGGGCCACGCTGTGAGGAAGAGCTGCAGCTACCTTGGGAGAATGAGGCAGCTTCCAGGAGCCCAGGGGCCTGGGGCCCTCAGCCCCAGGACCACACGGAAGCAAAGTCCTCCAACAATGGGGAGCTGGGAGTGCATTCTTGCCCCAGGGAGCCCTGAGAGGAGGAGGTGGCCCTGCTGAGACCAGTGCAGGCCTGAGACCCTGAGGGAAGAACTCCCCTACGCCTGGCCCATGAGACGGCCTTGCTTCCTCGCCAGGCTCATGGGAATCCACTGCACAGCCTCAGAAAACAGCATGCTCTCCATCTGCCCTGCCATTGCCCAAGCTCCTGGGGACCTCCCGTGTTCCGTACTCGGGGGCTGCCCCATGTGCAGCAGGTGCTCAGTAGATAGTTGCTGTTTTGGAATGAACAAAATCCATGACAGTATGTGAACAGCCCAGTTGTCAAAAGGTCGGCCTGATGCAAACCCACCTGCTCCCCCCGAGGCACCAGCGGACACTCTCACACGAGGCCTTGGGGGGTACATGGCCTGTGCCCTGGGCGGTGAAGGAACCGCTGCAGGATCCTGCTGGCCACTCCTCTAACCATGGCGGGTGGCCCACGGCCTGCCAGGCTGTCTGTTGGGTGGAAGTGTTACTGCTCCGTGGGGTTCAAGTCCTGCTGTGGACCCTCAGGTGTGCGTGGTACCACCACAGAGCCAGCTGTAAAGCTTCGACTGTGGTGTGACCTGGAAGGGAGACTCTGTGCCCCCAGACACCCTGCTGGGAGTCCTGGCCTCAGGGTCTGGAGCAGGGCAGATCCTGCTGAGGGGACGTTCTGGGTGCTCAGCCCACCTCAGGGGCTGCGCTGTGCTGGGTCCAGCAGCCGCGTGGCCTCCACACTGAGACCACAGAGGGCAGCAGCTCCTGCTCCCTGAGCCTCATCATGGCTCTCGGCCTCTGTGGACTCGCAATTCAGAGTGGAGAACCCCGGACGACCCCCTGCATTTCCAGGACCTCAGAGGGACGCCCTCTGCACCATGTGCTGGTTCTCATTGGTGATCTGACTGACGATGATACAGGACGTCTGGGAGAAAGGTCCGGTTCTCAAAGACACTGCAGAATCCAGAGGAGGGACCCGGGCCAGAGGGGAGGGGTCAGCTTTCCAGGAAGAGGTCCTAGTATTGAAGTGGACTCCAAGTCCCTGGGTGGTCTGGGTTCAGATTCTGCACCCTTGGTCCCTCCAGAGAACTCTGGCCACCTCTGACACATGGTCTGTGGCTGTCCCAACCGGAAGGGGACTCCTGCTCGCAACACCTAGTGGGGGGGCTGCGGCTGCCACTGAGCAGCCTGTCTCCAGGAGGCCCTCTTGGCCCCAACAGGGGTGCCCTGGACAGTAGTGCTGCGGTGGGGACACCCTGATGTGACCCCTCCAATCTGCAGCCCCAGCTCTGTGCTCCTCAGTCCCACGCCCCTTTCCTCAGGGCCTTTGGGGATGCTGTCCTCCATGGGGCTCACAGCTGGCCCAGGGCAGACGAGATGGCGAGGCTCAGGGTGGAGAGGCCCTACGCCACACCCGCTGTTGTTCCTCAAATCTCTCTGCCACCTGCCAGGACCCAGGTATCCCCACTTCCTATCAAAGCGCCCCGAAGCCTTCCTATCAAGGGTCCCCAGATGCGATCCACCAGCACCTTGTGCTTGTCCCATGTCTGCACGCATTCCACCCTTGGCAGGAGTGTAACGGGCCCAGCTGCTGTGGAGGACAGCAGGGAGGTACTCAGACAATCAGGAATGGGATCGGTCACAGGCATGTTTTAGGTAGACAGGACGAGTAGGTTATGGCAGGTATTAGAATGTCATTCCTGAAGGTCAGATCATAGACCAGGCTATCTCTCTCTCTGCCTGTCTGTCTGTCTATCCATCTGTCAATCATCTAGATATCCCATTTTGCTTACCCAAACCCTGTTCCTGGACACTGGGTTGCTTCCACCTTTTGGCCACTGTGAGCATTCTGCCATGAACCCGGGGTTACAAATACCTCCTCAAGGCCCGGCTTTCGACGCTTTCGGGCTCATGCCCAGAGGTGGACTTGCTAGATCACAGGACTCCCATCTCTGTCTGCCCCGTCACATTGCTGCCAGCAAGGCGGGCACAGGGCTCCACGTTCTCCCCCTTGCCATTTCGTAAGTCACAGCCATCCTAGCAGGTGTGCAGTGAGACCTCCTGTGGCCTGGATTCGCGTTCCCCTGGTGACAGCGGGAGTATGGGACACAGGCCAGGCCACCGCAGGCCGGCAGGGATGGTGGGGCAGCAGGCTGGCAAGAGGAGATAAGGGGCCTCCTGGGAGCCCGTGTGCAAGTCATGCTCCGGAGGAGACAGCTCAGCCTGATGAGCCTCAATTAGGAAACCCGGGCTGGGCGGGGAGGGGCCTCTCCGTCCTCACTGCAGCCTGAGCCTCTGCTCCCGCCTCCACCACGGAGCTCTGCCCAGGCCCAGCAGCCATGGCTCCATCCTTGACTGCTCTCTTCTGTCTCGGTGAGTCCCCAGGGGTGACTGGGCGATGCCGAAGGGCAGGCACTGCGCCCCTGGTGAAAGAGGATCAATAAACCCCACGAGACAAAGCCCCCCTGGGGAGTGTGGAGCTCGCGGCTGCTTTCCCACTCAGTGCTTCTCCTGCTCTCCACCGGCTGGTGCTGGGCACCTGGTGCCATCATTTCCTATGGCTCAGCTCCGAGAGGCTAAGCAGGCAGCGAAGGACTGTGTGCCGAGGACGAGGGGCAGCCAGGGCCCTTGACTTGCTCCTGCGCTGGCCCTTGAGCACACTCACCGCGGGTGACCTGCGGTTCTGGGTTGTTTCCTTCCCTTTCTAAGACACTGAGCCCTGGAATCCTCGTAGCCCCACGAGACAGGCCCTAGGACCTCCCTCATTTTACAGTGGGACCGGAGGGTTAAGTGACTTGTCCCCACAGCAAGGACTCATACAAACTAAGGACTTTTGCCACCAAATCCAGGCAGGGTTTTAACTTTTTCCCTTATATTTGACGGGGGTGACGGGCTGAGCGTTTCTTGCATGTGTTAGTAGTGCACGGCATCATGGCGTTTCCATACCCGAGCTCCTTGGGGACTGGCTGACTCGGGCTAATTCACATCGCCATACCTCTCAGCTGAATTTTTAAAATAGTGAGAACATTTAAGATCTATCCTCAGGGATTTCCAAGAGTCAACCTGTGGTTAGCCCTGGGCGGTGGGTCCCCTGCAGGGTGTCTTCCCCCAACCTCTGACCACTGTCCCCCAGCCCCGGGGCCCCGAGTTCTAGTCTGCTGTTTCTGTGGGGTTCCCTGACCCACGTTCTTTACCACTAAACTAGGCTGCTGGTGTGAGGATCCATCTGCCACCGGCTGGGGACTGTGGGCAAGACCCTGCCCCAGTGGCCTGATAATGACACAGTGCAACACTGGTGCCCAGCACTACACCCTGGGGGCTCAGGGCCCACCTTGGGAAATTGGCACAGCGCCTCTGCTGAGAAAGTCAGTGCCCAGCGCCCCAGACCCTGACAGCAGAGGTCAGTGTGCACCCAGTCCCCGCGCTCTGCTCGGGGTCTGGGAGGGGTTGCCCAGGGCAGGCACAGTCCATCTTTGACTTAAAATTTTAATTGTGGCTGAACGCACTTAGCTCAGAATTTCCCAGGAGTGACCTTCAGTCTGTTCAGGGTGTCGCAGACCAGCCTCTGGTTCAGAGACCTGTGCCACCCCCCCAGGAAACCCCAGCCCCAGGGGATTGCCCCGTCCTCCGGGTCCAGCCCACAGGGCCCTGGAGGCTTGAGTCGGTGGATTTAGTTGTTCTGGACACTGTGCAATGCCATCCCCAGAGTGTGTCCTTAGGGACTTGGTTCCTTCGCTTAACAGTGACGGGTGGCTTTGGAAAAACTGAAATACAGTGAAAAGCGAGTGGGGACGGGAGGCGTCGGCCAAGTCCCCAGCGCGGGTTCTCTTCTCTCCCCAGGGCTGTGTCTGGGGCGGCCGGTGATCGCAGCGCAGAGCGGTGAGTGCTTGTGTGACGGGCAGGCGCAGTGTGGGGCCCAGAGGGGCCTCTTCGTTTGGCCACTGACCTCGGTCACGCGTCCCTTCCAGGCCTGCTCCCCAAGCCCTCCCTCCGGGCTCTGCCCAGCTCCCTAGTGCCCCTGGAGAGGCCGGTGACCATCTGGTGCCACGGGCCTCAGGGCGTGGACCTGTACCGCCTGGAGAAACTGGGATCCAAGAAGTACGAGGACCACAACTTCCTCTCCATCTCGGCCATGAAAACGAGTCACGCGGGGCGCTACCGCTGCTCCTACCAGAACGGGTCCCAGTGGTCGCTCCCCAGTGACCATCTGGAGCTGGTCGCCACTGGTAACTGGAGGGTGGGGGATGGAGTGTGGATTCAGGGCCGCCCGCCCAGGTCTGAACTCATAATCTTGATTTTTAAAATAGCTTTATTTATTTATTTTCATGTGGTGCTGAGGATCCAACCCAGTGCCTCGCAGGTGA